TACAGTCAGTAACACATTGTAACAGTTTACAGTAACACATTTTAACAGTTTACAGTCAGTAACACATTGTAACAGTTTACAGTCAGTAACACATTGTAACAGTTTACAGTAACACATTGTAACAGTTTACAGTAACACATTGTAACAGTTTACAGTCAGTAACACATTGTAACAGTTTACAGTAACACATTGTAACAGTTTACAGTCAGTAACACATTGTAACAGTTTACAGTAACACATTGTAACAGTTTACAGTCAGTAACACATTGTAACAGTTTACAGTAACACATTGTAACAGTTTACAGTAACACAGTGTAACAGTTTACAGTCAGTAACACATTGTAACAGTTTACAGTGACACATTGTAACAGTTTACAGTAACACATTGTAACAGTTTACAGTGACACATTGTAACAGTTTACAGTAACACATTGTAACAGTTTACAGTGACACATTGTAACAGTTTACAGTCAGTAACACATTGTAACAGTTTACAGTAACACATTGTAACAGTTTACAGTGACACATTGTAACAGTTTACAGTAACACATTGTAACAGTTTACAGTGACACATTGTAACAGTTTACAGTCAGTAACACATTGTAACAGTTTACAGTAACACATTGTAACAGTTTACAGTAACACATTGTAACAGTTTACAGTGACACATTGTAACAGTTTACAGTAACACATTGTAACAGTTTACAGTGACACATTGTAACAGTTTACAGTAACACATTGTAACAGTTTACAGTGACACATTGTAACAGTTTACAGTCAGTAACACATTGTAACAGTTTACAGTAACACATTGTAACAGTTTACAGTGACACATTGTAACAGTTTACAGTAACACATTGTAACAGTTTACAGTGACACATTGTAACAGTTTACAGTCAGTAACACATTGTAACAGTTTACAGTGACACATTGTAACAGTTTACAGTAACACATTGTAACAGTTTACAGTAACACATTGTAATAGTTTACAGTAACACATTGTAACAGTTTACAGTGACACATTGTAACAGTTTACAGTAACACATTGTAACAGTTTACAGTAACACATTGTAACAGTTTACAGTCAGTAACACATTGTAACAGATTACAGTAACACATTGTAACAGTTTACAGTGACACATTGTAACAGTTTACAGTGACACATTGTAACAGTTTACAGTCAGTAACACATTGTAACAGTTTACAGTAACACATTGTAACAGTTTACAGTAACACATTGTAACAGTTTACAGTAACACATTGTAACAGTTTACAGTAACACATTGTAATAGTTTACAGTAACACATTGTAACAGTTTACAGTGACACATTGTAACAGTTTACAGTCAGTAACACATTGTAACAGTTTACAGTCAGTAACACATTGTAACAGTTTACAGTAACACATTGTAACAGTTTACAGTAACACATTGTAACAGTTTACAGTAACACATTGTAACAGTTTACAGTAACACATTGTAACAGTTTTCTTCTCTAAATTTTTGGTTTCTTTAAGGTGCTTTCCGTGTACATGTTATGTATGATCAATTCAAATGTGACAGAAAAAATGACTTAAGATAATACTTAAACAGTTTATAAAATTACAGTGACAAATTGTAATATTTTATTGTCATACACGTTAACAACAACTTCAGAAATTCATACATCAATTTGTACATACAGCCCAGTTGTATGGCACACATGGGTATTTAACTACATATACATGTATATCTGTGAAGGAATGTCACCTCATTTCAAAGTTACAAACATAAAACTCTTGACTAACCAGTTTGTATCTTGTATTTTATGTATAGAAACAATGACGATGACGAAAACGTACAGAAAGTCAGTTTTTACTTGTGATTGGTAGTTACTGTACTTGACCAGATGTGTCAGTGGTCAGTATCCCATGGAGTGTGTGTTAGTGGTCAGGGGGTCATGGATTGTGTTAGTGGTCAAGGTTCCATAGGGTCAGTCCGTGATCAGAGGACAAGGACAGCGTTGATGAAAAGGGGGTCATGGAGTTAGTCAGTAGTGGTCAGGGGGTTATGGATTGTGTTGATGGTCAGAGTTCCATGGTGTCAGTCCGTAGTCAGGGGGTCATGGATGTGTTGGTGGTCAATGTTCCAGGGAGTTAGTTAGTGGTCAGAGTTCCATGGAGTTAGTTCGTGTTCAGGGGGTCATGGATTGTGTTGGTGGTCAAGGTTCCATGGTGTCAGTCAGTGGTCAGGGTTCCATGGCGTCATTTCGAGGTCAGGGGGTCATGGATTGTGTTGGTGGTCAAGGTTCCATGGTGTCAGTCAGTGGTCAGGGTTCCATGGCGTCATTCCGAGGTCAGGGGGTCATGGATTGTGTTGGTGATCAATGTTCCATGACGTCAGTCCGAGGTCAGGGGGTCATGGATTGTGTTGGTGGTCAAGGTTCCATGGTGTCAGTCCGTGGTCAGGGGGTCATCGATTGTGTTGGTGGTCAGGGTTCTATGGGGTCAGTCAGTGGTTAGGGCTCCTTGGAGTTCTTCCGTGGTCACGGGGTCATGGATTGTGTTTGTGGTGAAGGTTCCGTGGTGTCAGTCCGTGGTCACGGGGTCGTAGATTGTGTTGGTGGTCAAGGTTCCATGGTGTCAGTCCGTGTTCAGGGAGTCATGGATTTGTTGGTGGTCAAGGTTCCATGGAGTTAGTCCGTAGTCAGGAGGTCATGGATTGTATCGATGGTCAGGGTTCTATGGGGTTAGTCAGTGGTCAGTGGGTCATGGATCAGTGGTCATCACAAACTACCCATCCCTTGACCAATTAGGGAACAATTTCGTATCGTACCTTTGATCATTCTGGTTTTCCGTTCTGTATAGGTGCATAAATTCTTCCCCATTTTTTCTCAACCTAACAACATGATTTCACTGGAAGACAGTGTTGTCGGTAATATTCTATATTCTTCTTCAGATTTCTATGGTCAATTAATTCGAGAACGTAATGCAAGTTACATTACATTAAACTTGGGTTTATACAAATTACGGAGCGTGGGTTTAAAATGGTCAAAACGACACATGAAAAAAAATCTCATTCGCATCGTCATGCAATTAATGTGTTGTTTCAGTATTACATCGCTTCCTCCCAGACTCTGATTTTATAGCCTCTGAAATAAGCCTTAACCAGTTTCTCTCCTGAACTGACTCCCTCCACGTCGCCGTCCCAATCACCTCTCTTTCTCGGTCTCAGCCCCCACAATCAGTACCTCTCATTACTTTCAGACTCACCCTTCGATCCTCGTTCGCCATTTCACTCCCCTTTGTGTGACCTTTGTGACCTTAGAGCTACATGTACTTGTATCTAAAATCACGCGCGACTAATTGCATGTACAGTATACCGTTACATCAGGACTATGACCCTCGTCAATGCAAGGAAACTGCTGTTTTGATATCTAGAGTTTATAAGCGAATTGCCCAACAATAATGTCTTTATAATGAGTGAATAATTGGGTACGTGAAACAGGCCATCACTCCAACGTCTAAAAATAAACAATAACATCTGTTGTGGCGCTTTAACAATCACAATATAACACAAGAAAACTTTGTGTGGTGTTTTAAGTCTGGGCTTCTCAAATCTCCAAAAATAAGGACGTTACTTGTATACTTTTAATGTATAATTTACGTACGTGAGGGAGTAAACATGTTTGGAACTCTCCTACGTCAGTGCTCGCGCCAGACTTGAGTTCAATGAGTTAATGGTCTCTCTGATTGGCACGATTTTTACATGGGAACAGGGAAGGGGCTCGAGGGCAAAGGTCACATTGGGTACAAATTATAGTGGATATAGATGAGATTTTATTCGGAAAGACATCTATCTAATGATATAGCCGTTTGATCTTCCTATCTACAATATACGTGTGCTCTCTGTGGTAGCCAGGTTTCGGACTCCGTAATTCCTATAAGCGTACATTGTACAGCGTTATCTACAAATAGGACTCGATACGTGTATTGAACTATTCACTTAGTCCTTATTCATTATCATTCCTGTCCGTCCAACAATACCGAGATTTCATTTACACCGTCATGATACATCGGTAAATCAACAAGGTATTATGGGAATTTCGGTCAATTTGTGATGAAAGCATGAGTTATCCAGGTGGGATTTAAACGATCCAAGTATAATTTACTAGTACGTAATATCACCATAACACGCTGCTATGTTGTTCATGTACAATGGTTTGATTGGGTCGGGTATCATTACCGTCGCCTGTTGTAAAGCAATCGTGTGACACTCTCCTCCTGGCAGTATGGGCCTAGTGAACCGCTAAAAAGCCCATCCCAATTCCAACAAATTCTACTTCTCTTTATGTATAATTCATTTCAATATTTAATGTAAATAAGGTTTGATAGTGTTAATTGTCACCAAACACATACTTGTCAAACCATGACAAGTACCCGAGGCGCCATTTCACGCCTATGAATTTACCAACATGTTCCTGTGATTAGGCGGTAATTCCTGCTATGACACTGATGCTTAACACGTGGTCCGATATGTTTATATGTAACTAGTTCAATCAAATGTCCCATACTGCGCCGCGTTACTGACAAGGCGCTCGGTACCCAGGGAGTTAGCGCTAGCGCAGAACACCCCCGTGGAGCCCGGCCCACCAGCGCATACGCTTATGTAACAAATATATCTCATTCTGTGGTTACTAATTATACAGTGTAGACTTTCCGCAGGTAAGCTCCCTCACTGCCGGCGGGGAGATCTGATTTATTACCTGCCCTTGATAAGAGTAAGTAGCATAACCTAGTGGGTCATGTGACATACCGTTGTACAAAAAATATGCCAGCTGTGATCAGTTGTATACAAGTTATAGTGGGGCAGTACGAGAGAGAGTAGTAACTGTTTACTGGACGGCCATATCTTCCAGAGGACCCCGTACTTCAAGTTGTGTGAGTGAAAGTTTGTACACTCGATGAATGAGTTAGTTTTACATGTCTTCATTGAGGAAAAAAAATAGTTAGATGATGTTCAAATGGATGTTTCCGGTATAGCAGACGACAGAAAGCTGTCGGATATCACGCCGGACATGGACAACAACAATCTTAAAATGGGTTCACTTCAGGACGTGCAGCTCCTTTTAAGGAGTAAAGACGAGCAAATTAAAGCCCTACAACGACAACTAGAACAAAAAGAGGAGAAAATACTACAACTTCGGAGTCAGTTGGATAAATACCAATCTGTGTTTCCGACAATTAAAGCTTCGGTGGGTCCACGGAAACAGAGGGCTCAGGGAATATCGGCTGAGCCGTACTCTCTTAAAACAATACAGGATTTTGTAGGACAATCAGCAATCAAACACACCAAGAGTAACAGGTAAGTGAATCAGTCAGCCTAGAGGGAAATGGTGACAGTGACACCAGATACGTGTGGGACGAAGGCATACATAGGCCATCAGAATAGGCAGACCAGGGGTGGATGGTCCAGGTTCAGGGGTAGTCGGTGGTTCTTTTAAACGGACGGGTCTGTTGAACATTTTATAATTGGATATCCCTGACCGAATTTCCCCATTATCATCCGTATGTGTCCTGTGTAATTTATTACCTTTTCATATTTCGATATATCCCACTCAATACCCTTATCTGTAAAATCAATGGCAAAGGTATCACTACATGGTCAGTACTGTCAACACTGACCCGTCTAAATGGGAGAAATATTACAAAAGTTTGAGATTCCAGACAATAATCCTACATATTATCAAAGTAGTCGGGACAACCACTGACGTTCTGGCGATGTCGAAAGTGTGTCACCATTATGCCTCGGGGTTTGTGTTGGAAACTAAAGGCAGTAGTATATTAAATATCTATAGTGTTATGTGGAAACTGGAACATCTAATGTGTTTGATAGTGGGCATTAAAATATGATTTATGCAGGAATATTTTGATTAACATAGTCGCAGGTTGACAGATGTATGTGCACGTTATAATACAGAAACGGAGTTGGTGTGTTTACATGTTGTCGACATCAGCACACAGACACGTACATATACATACATACACCACTTAAACGTACATATACACGTACCATATATATAATACGCGGAACGAATGCACGCCCGGAAGGCGATAGTATCACACGGGCTGTTTATCCCATCACTCTGACCTCGCCCGGACTTTCGACACTTCCGCACGGAATCAGAGTGTTAAGTGAGATGGCAGCCTACCCCACATTTATATGTACCCAGTAAACCACACGATGAGTAGACAGCCGTATTGTGTTTTGTATCCATCATCATACTGTCTACAGTGGCAAAGGTCAAACCTTTAAAGTGGCACGGTCAGTTTACGGAACTGTCCGTTACAAATGAAACCCGTATATATGTATGTACGGGTCTTGTATACAGACTATAGACAGTTAGTAACAATTCGACATTTTTACCCTCAAGTGACCATCAATCTCCGTGGCTGGTAGCCCGGGAGTGATGGAACTCTTTACATTAAGGTGCCACAAGCTTGTCTTATTTTGGCACTTTCGGAGTCCTTGTTACAGAATCCCGATAATCACTCCCAGAACATGCTAAAAGAACCGCTTTTACCGTCCGGTCGTATCCTGATTGTCGGCCGAGATAATTATTAGTTTAAAGTGTTATAGTAACAGGCCCTTCAGGCCCACTCTCAACACTCAATTTCTGGGTTGTTTTCGGAGTAAACAAATCGACGAGTTTTTGGATACTTCAGGCAATGGTGTCAGTATTGGCCATCTTTGTACCCGGACACTTGAGGGACCAACTGTTCTCACCTTATCTACAACGACGAGGAATGTACGGATTGTGGCATTGGAGGGGAAGGGTGTTTATACTTGAGGTCCGAGGGGAAGTGTATAACACTTCAATTATATTGAGGGGTGTTACACTGGAGGTTTGTCGAATCTGTGACAAGTTCTTATTACAATTAGAGAGGAGGGTTTGGGGGGGTTTTACATTGGAAGTTTGGTGGATCTGAGAGAAGGTCTTATTACAATAAGAGGGGAGGGTGTCGGGGTTTTACACCGGAGGTTCTGCGAATCTGATAATTATGAGTGTCCGCATCGTTCTATCGACATATTTAAAAGTGTAGAGCTACGAGCAAACACAAGAATTAGACTGTCGTTATGACCCTTGTTATCTATACTCTACATGTATCGGTATGAAGTGCTGGTACCGATAAGACCCTGACCAAGTTCCTGGAGTGCAAACTATATGTCGGTGTCTCACTATACAGCTTGGTGTGTCATTCGTTGATTAGGTTATCGCATCAACTTTTCATAACACTTAAGCATCAGTGATTATTCTTATTTTTAAGCATGATTGTTTCTGGACACGTGTCACCTACCTCTCGAACTTACCGGCATTATTGTTTTATTAGTTAAAATAACCCTAGCTGTTTGCTATAGCCTGTGTAAAGGTCATTGGGAAGGGTTTTGGATTAGTTGTAGGGCACTGTAGACTGGCATTCCATCGTCCTCAGTTTCCCTTTCCTTTTCGATACAAAAACGTGCACAAATGCTGGCCTAGATACCTCGCTGGTGGGCCGGCTGCTTATATACGGGGTCCTTTCAATCATCTGTACTACCACGTGCTAACTGATAAGTTTGTTTTTGTGGCACTTTCGCATTTACCCTCGAAACTGTTAATCTTTCTTTTTCTGTCTGGACAATGTCGGAACCAAGTGCCAAACCATGTTCCCCATAGTTCTGTTTACATCGTGAAGTCCAGCGCTGCCCCTGTATCATATAACTATGATGTTAAACTGCTTTTAAATAGTCACTTTAAATTTGTTTAACAATAAACAAATCTACAGGCCCGCTGTATTAGTCAGTGACATCGACAAATTCCTTTTATACAATTCTTTGGTATTGCATTTCGCACCTACCTGTTGCCTACTGATAAGGTGTACATGTGGCGTTGACAGTTTGTTCTTATATGTAGGTATATATGGTTATATAATATCGTATTTTAAAACTATACCGCACAGAACGGTGTAGTAGTATGTTTTCAGATGACACGGTTTATACAAACAAAGTTCTAATTAAAAGATAACAGGATATTACTGCTTAAAAGTACTATTTATCTGTGGGGCGAAAAATATGTCCTGCTGTTCAAACAGAGCGGAACTACCGTGTGTTGGATGTTGACCTTGAGATGAGATTTCATTAAAATGCCGTTGTTACAATGAAACATTCAACAGTCTAGTCAACGCTTTTAACCCGAGACGTAACATGTATGTACTTATAACTGGTGTGATAGACAAAAGGATGTAGAAGTTAAATAGTTTTAGTCCAGTTTCAGTTTACAACCGCTAGTAATTAGATACAATATGCACTTTTATTGTAAAGAATGATCAGTAATTTTTAAACATTTTGACAGACAAACATCCGGAGTTTTCTTGCAGCTGTGTATAGTTGTAATACTATATTAATCAAATCCCTCAAGTAAACGACATGTCACTGGAATTAGTGAGAATAGTGTGTTAAATGTGTTTTTAATGCCTCTTTCTCGTGATAAATGGATTATTTTAATTTCAGTGATAATTAAGATCACACTGTTTTTTGAGCATAGTGAGCTACTTTCATTCAGCAATCGTATTTGGTATACTTAGCCAGTACTCTCAAAGTTGGTGATATACACGTACCGAGTCAGATGTCAGTAGCCTAGGGCTACCAGACATAGCCACCAAGCAATGACTAGTTGTCCAATACGGGGACATCTAAAACATTAACTTGACTGTATTTCCATTTTTATGTGAGGTATATAAAACAAGTGAAGATGTCGTGAGAAATATATTTGAATGTTATATGAAGTGACCTTTATTACACGAATCCGTTCAAATCTCGTGAAAATAAGCTTGATTTCCGTGGCTATTGAACTTTATATTTCCGCCATGTTGTCTCCATAGTTACCGGCATGGTCCCTTAAACTGGTAACTTTACCTTAATAAGTTATGTTTAGAAATACTGACATTTGTCTAGTACAAGTATAAGCTTACCTCCTCTTCCTGTGGAACTCTTTTACAAGAGATCTGATCTGGAAAACTTTTTCTAGTCATGGGTCTGTCTAATTGTCCCCATTCGAATACTGTAACCACTATAATAATAAAATTCATTTTTCCACTTTGAAGATGTTACGTTAGACCATACGAGCAGTTCCGAGTTTAAACTGAAAAACAACAACATCAAGGCCTAGTTACCACACAAACAGACCATTCTAGAAATTAGGCCTTGGTTGAAACAATACTTCACATACAATGAACAACGAACTCAAAAATTGCAATTTATGACAGAATTTTGTATTTTTGTTTTTCGAGAAACTCTCTGTGAACTAGCTGCTGATGAAGAGTGTCTAGATGGGAATGAGGTCGATTGTGTTGCTTAGTTAGGTACGAAATACGACTACAGAATAGTTTGTTTGTAACATAGCCTCTGTGTCACAGACCAAGCATTGCTGCCTTCCACTAAACATCAATTCACAACTGACATATCGCATTGACGTTCAATGGACACAGAACCAAGCCGCAAGCTCCGACCACGTAACTCGGTGCGATTCCATTTACCAAAGTTTATTGATAAAATGACGCAAATTAGTCCTTACATCAACGATAATTGATGATTATATCATGGAATCTTTACAACATATAAAACTACAAGTCTACCTCGGCTCCTTATCAACAATAAGGCCTTTGAGAACGAAAAGAGCTTTCTTTGTTCGCGTGGTTGACCACTAGAGAATGAATTACATTTTGTACATATGAACAAACCCTGATATATGTGTGATCATTAGGTTTCTTGTGTCACTCCAGACATTAAGTAGTACTGATGAAAATCGGTAGAGATCATGTAGCGTGTATAATTCATAACAATAGGCTCATTATGTATGCAATGAAAACAGAAGTGTAACAATGATATAGTAACACTTTGTTCTGGGACGGTGTCTCAAGGTCAAACGGCTCAAAGCCCTGGGCACAAACCAAGGTCAGTCAACGCGTACCACATGGCAACGTCTGTTGAGTGTACGACTTCTGTTCCACGACGTCTAATGTCTCGAAGTCTGGACACGCGAAAGGTATACCTTAAAGATGTTTCAAAGTCTAGCAATGTCGTCTTTGTATTTTTTTTTTGTGTACATGCCTAGTTTGTGAGAGATTAGCAGGTGATGGTATAAACCATTGACCCTAAATTGTGTTCCTGTCATACCAACATGATGATTCGAACCCAATCACCACACTTCTTAAGTGATAGGGAGTGACAGGTAGAAGCACCATGAAGTACCCTCCATCACTGTTATCAGGGAGTCCCCAGCGGGAAGTTGGTGCATCATAAATCGTCACTTGTTTAGATAACTG